ATCAGATTCTAAGAGAGGTATATTAAGGTATACCACTAAGATTGGCAATTTCCCTTTGTAATTTTGGAATATTTTCCATTATACTTTGTGAAGCACTTTGTCAATTGGACACAGTATCCCTGTTGATTGGAACTAAAATTTCAGTTATAGACAAATAGAATGAGAATTATTGCCTTCTTAATAAGTTGTTGATTTTTAACAAAATATTCCCCTTTACTCAGAATAATGTTTTTGCCTTAAAATATAGTTTCTAATATTACTATTACTACAGCAAATTTCTCTTGGTTAGTGTTCCCACTCTATATATTTCTACACTCTTTATATTTAATTCTTTTGTATCATTATCATGTTTTTGGTGTTTCTTCAATGGGATTTTATTGTTGTTTTGAGGAGTGTGAGAGTCTTTCTTTTTAACAGGCATTTTAGTCCAATTATATTTATTATGGCTTTTACTTTATTTCTCAAACTAAGGAAGATTCTGTCCCCTTGAGGACATTTGGCAATATCTGGAGACATTTTTATTTGCCACAACTGGGGTAGGGCAACTGGCATCTTATGAATAAAGACAAGGGATGCTGCTGAACACCCCACAATGCTCAGAACAACCCTCCACAACAAGTAACTACATGGTCCAAAATTTCAATGGTAGTGAGGTTAAGAGACTGTGATCTATTTGGACTTACTTCTATCATCTTATTTGGTGGGGGTTTATATCACACTATGCACACTGTACCTACAGACATTTCAATGCTAATTCTTAGTACATGTTATAACCATTCCACGTGGTAACTATGATTCTAACCCTGTATAGCCTTAACCCTCATGCAAGGTGTGAGTCCATTTCTTATAAATATTCTATGGTTGGGGCAGAGGACAATATAGTGTTTATTTGAGGATAAAGTATATATGTCGATTTATTCAACTATTTTTATATGGTTCAAATTACATATGCTGGAATTTTCAGTTTACTTCATCTTCCATAGACTGATAATTAATTGCATATTATTTCCCATCATTATTGTTTTTTCCTGCTTTTTTTTTTTTTTTGCCTATAATGGTGATTACCTGATGCCATTTGTTGGCATTTGAGTTCATTTTATTTGTTTTTATTATAGAATTTCATTTTATTTTGAGGGGTTTCATTGGTCTTTTTTGTTCTTTATTTTTTTATTTCAGATTAATATGAGGGTACAAACGATTAGGTTACAATGTTTGTATTTGATAGGTAAAGTCCATGTTGTAGTTGTGTCCCACACCTAGGTGATGTGCCATATACCCTTACATTGTGCCCATTAGGTGGGACACACCAATACCCTCCCTCCTCTCTTTCCTTCTTCCCTCCTCCCCACACCCTCCAACTTGAATTGAATTGAGTTTTCTCTTCTGTGGATATGTATTGGGTCATCAACTGGCTTCAGATTAGTATTAAGTACATTAGATACTTGCTTTTCCATTCTTATTATACCTTACTAAGAAGAATGTGTTTCTGCTCTATCCAGGTTAATACAAATGATATAAAGTCTCCATCTTTTTATGGCAGAATAAAATTCCATGGTATACATATACCACAGTTTATTAATCCATTCATGGGTTTATGGACACTTGGGTTGGTTCCACATCTTGGCAACTATAAATTGAGCTGTGATAAATAATCTAGTACAAACATCTTTATGATTAAATGATTTTTTTCTGGGTAGATGCCTAGGTATGGGATCACAACATCAAACAGAAGATCTATTTTGAGTTCTTTGAGGATTCTCCATCCTTATTTCCATAGAGGCTGTAGTAGTTTATAATCCCACCAACATAGAATTTGCAGCTTGGTGCCTGTAGCACAGTGGTTACGGCACCAGCCACCTACACTGAGGCTGGCGGGTTTGAACCCAGCCCAGGCCACCTAGACAACAATGACAACTGCAACAAAAAATAACCAGGCATTATGGTGGGTGCCTGTAGTCCCAGCTACTTAGAAGGCTGACACAAGAGAATTGCTTAAGCCCAGGAGTTTGAGGTTGCTCTGAGCTGTGACGTCACGGCACTCTACCGAGGGTGACACAGTGAGACTCAGTCTCCAAAAAAAAAAAAAAAGGATTTGCATTTTAATTAATAAACTTAACCTACTTTATCCCATTTTATGGTTTGCCTTGAATTCTCATTTATCCAATATTATTCCTTTCATTTCAAGCTTCTTTTTGCCAACATTTGCTTGATATATCTCTTTGCATCCTTTTATTTTTAATCTATTATGTTATTTTGTTAGTTATTTTTGTAAGTTATTTGTCATTGAATTTTGCTTTCTGATCTTTTGTTAAATATTTACTTTTTATTAGGTTGGGTAGAGGGAAATTAATGTATTTACAATATATTTGTTGTTAAAATAAACAGATTCTTTAGTTATCAAACATATCTTTATTTAATTTCAAAGTTGAAACAACTCTAATTAAAGCATCTTTCATAATTGTGTTTCCAGGATCTTTTGAGACTTATATTAACCCACGTGAATGGGAAGGCTATTCTAAAATGAAACATGAAGACCAATACATGACACATTATGAAAGGGATGGCACAAGGCACGATTCTTGGAGTACAGAATTGAGTTCTTTCCATAAACTGATTCTTATTAAATGTTGTAAAGAAGAAAAGGTAAGGTTTTCTTTTTAATTAAAGGACTATATTATAAATGTTTCTACGAAACTTCACTAGCCAGTTGTGATTCATAAATGTGAGAATAACAATGCAGAAGTTTGAGAATTCACTCTAAAATCATGGAGATTCTGTGTTATTACTAGAACAAAATGCTTTATGCTGAAAATGAGGAAAGAAAAGACTGGAGAGCCAGCCAGTGATGTGATTGCCCTTTCCCTGGTGTGTGCTGTTAGAGCACCCTGTCCTCGATAAGAGGGATAAGGATGTATTGGAAGTCTTTAGCAGGAAATTAATGGGCTTTTCAGACCCTGGCAACACTAGGGAGGAAACATTTGAAGGACACAAAACCATACTCACCAGGCCCTCTTTGTAGACTATCAAAGCGATCTGTATGAGGAATTATGGCAGACTGAATTAAGACAGAGGTAGTAGATTAGAGAGGTGAAGGAGAATGCATGATAGGCAGATAGCATGGCTCCCAGTTTCAGTTTGTATGCCAAAGGGAATAAAGTCATACCAACAACTAAGCAAGTGCGAAAGGAAGAATGTATGAAAGAAAGATGTCACTGAGTCTACAGATCCTGCCAGCCATCAAAATAGATAGCAGTCTAGAATCTAGCTCATATGTAGATAGGAAACTCTAGAGAGAAACATGGGTTGGAAATAGAGATTTGGGAATCAACAGCATTCAGCTGGGAAGCAAAATTATAAAAGTTGTTGGATTGTAGAAGAATAACAAAAAGTAGCCTAAAAGGATGGGTGGGCAAAGGATGAAATGTTGATGATCACCACCAACTTATAAAGGACAGAGAGAAAAGATAGGAAGCCCACATGAAGGAATAGTCAGAGGGGCAGGAAAAATAATGGGAGAAAAAAAATATCATGAAAATCAAGGAGGTATGGAGCTTTAACACAGGAAAATTATTCAACAGAATGAATAAAGCATTAGGGCAGTTTTACTTTTTATATGTGCAGATATGATTCCCAGTTTTATTGATAATAAGGGAATAATAATACTTGCTAAGAATCTGATTAATATCTTCACAGAGTTGTGCAATATCACCAAATCAATTTAGAACATTTTTATTACCCCCCAAAAGAAACATCACACCTTTAACTACCATCCCCCAATTCCGTCATCACTAAAGTTATATTTTAGTCATTTTCTGTCTCTGTAGATTTGCCTATTCTAGTCTTTTGTGAGTATTCTTTCACTTAACATGATATTTTCAAGTTTCATCTATGTTGTATTATTTATCAGTACTTCATTTTTTTTTATTACAAATAATAAACTATTGTATAGATATGCCAAAGTTTATTTATCCATTCATATGTGTTGTTTCCCTATTTTCTGACTATTATGAATAATGCCACTATAGACATTTGTATGCAAGTTTTTGTGTGTTTTCTCTGGGTATAAACTCGAGAGTGGAATTGCTGGATCCTATAGTGGCTCTACATTTACTGTGTGAGGAACTGCAAGTCTGTTTTCCTAAAAGGCTGTTCTATTTTACGTTCCCACTAGCAGTGTATGAAGGTTCTAATTTCTCCACATCCACACCAGCATTTATTTGTCTTTTTATTATAGCCATCCTAGTAGATACAAAGTGGGATCTTCTTGCTTTTATTTGCTTTTCCCTAATGTCTAATGATAATGAGCTTTTCTTCTTGCATTTATTAATTATATAGAACTGTCTATTCTAATCCTTTACCATTTTTGATTGGATCTTTTTTTTTATTCAATCATAGCTGTGTACATTAATACTATCATGGGGTACAGATTGCTGTTTCTATATACAATTTGAAATACTTTCATCCAACTGGTTAACATAGCCTTCATGTTATTTTCTTAGTTACTGTGTTAAGACATTTATATTCTACATTTAGAGCGATTCAAATGTACCCTTATAGGATGAAACATAGG